ATGGCGCGGATCATGGACCTACCAATCTTTAGTGGCGGAAAAAGAGAGGCGAATTTGACCTCTCAGCAGGGTGTAGATACCGGTGAAACGGGGGACAGAGGAAGCGGTTAGAGAGCGCTAGAACCAGTCTAAAAGAGCCGTCGAGGAGAGGCGAACCTCCCCCCAGCCCCTAAGATAGAAGAGCAAGAGAACCCTGCTGAGAGGCCAAATCAGGTAAAAGCCTTGTTGTTGTACATACATGAACGTTGTTATAGTTCTTGTTGCTGTTAGTTTTGTGTTGTTAGGATAAAATCTTGTACTCAAGCCCGAGTTTTTGCATCGATCAGGTTCAACCGAGACTTACCACTAGACTACCCCCGTTACACCAAAAGTTTTAAGCCGGATGAATATGGAATGCGCAGCCATGCTCGTAGGCCCTTGGCATTAATTCTTCTAGAAGAAAAGTTTGAACTGACGAAGAGCTAGACAGGACGAGTCGGATAATCACGAATAATACAAAGACGCAATAGTTGCTGGATGGAAAGCTATACCATGCACTCTTCTAAAGATTACAGTTGCTAAGTTGCGAACACTGTTTCACCCGGCTTGGGTTCAATAGATTTCTGACATTATTCTAATGTGCAGCCGTCAGAAAATGAAGCAAAAAAATTTTTTTTTGGTTCCGAAGGGTTCCGAAATCGACACATATGCCCCCCAGCGAAAACCTGAGCGCGAGAAAGGGCTTTCCGACTTTCTGGCGCTTTTTGTTTTTGAGCTTCTTTGAGCGTTTCGGGCGCTTTTGGATCTTTTGGACGCTTTTGGCCTTTTTTCGGCGAAGTATGATGGGTCTTTGAGGAGCAAGAAGAGGGGTGCACAATTTTTTTGGGAAGGGTAGAAAATCTCTGCAATGCTTTTCGAATCTTTGCGAGATCAGGCTGATATTTGCAAAGGAAAACAGATACCACTCCGAGCTTTTATGTGGGGCTAATAAGAACTGTTCAGACGCTGGAGAATTACCTAATGCACGGCATGAAAATTATTACTCAGTTAGTCTGTAAAAGTGCAGCGGCAATTGCTGGAAGCCTGAAAACCGGATCCGATGGTGGGAGCTCCACCCGCTTGGACTCCGCCCACTTGACTGAGAAGTTGGGCATTTGGCGATAAGCAGTGATCGAGTGAGAAAGACAAAAGACAGCTACGAACCGCACATGAATTATTGAAACCCCCACAAAAGGTAAAATACTTTCTAGACTTAATTTGTCATCTACATTAACTATGCGATCTTTGTTTGCGTTTCAAACGCTTTACGCATATTTTTAGCAGCCTTACATTCGCCCTAGACTGAACATAATCTTCTCCGCTGGTAGAGGGTGATTCTTCAGCCGTATCGCGTACGCTCCTGGATTAACATCCAGCCCACTACGTCGCACCGCAGCTCGCAGAAGAGTGTTATGCCAAAGATTGAGGTAGATCGGTTGAGCATGGAAAGCACGATTGTCAAACAACACCTGAAGTCGATTTTGGCGAAAGACTGGAGGTTACTATTACAAGTTGCCTCACCTTGGTCACATGTCTCACTGCGAGCTTGCGCAAGAATTTGTATTTTCCCACGCCATAGTCTTGTGGGACGTTAGGATTCTGGAACCCGAAGGCAAGCCCACCAAACCTGAACACAGCTTTTTGGATGAACCACATGTATTCTTTGCGTGTATTGAAGCACGTATGCCCGGAGTATACCCAAAATCCGCATCGTTCGAGAAAGCGACGGTCCAATCAGAGAAATGAAACCCCGAAACTTCGTACGGGACTGCACCGTTGAGCTCAAATGCTTTCGTACGTACAAAAGGAAATTTGTCACATTTTTTGCCAAATTTTCTCTGGTCACAAGTACAAGAAGCATCAGATGTTTCTGAAAATGTGCGGAATTGTAAAATACAAGAAATAAAGAGCAGAAATAACGCTGACCAAAAGTTTTCGGAACCAAAAATGATTCTAGTTTTCCTGAACGCTTGCAGTAAGGACAGTTGAGCTTCTGACAATGTTCGTCGAAAAGTCCCTGAAGAATTTTGTTCAAAAAAATACTGTTTCATAAATGTTGACGTTTTGCAAGAAACACGTCTTGTTTAAGAAAGTCCCTTCGTATGAATGAAACAGATGGCATCACTTCGTAATGATTACAAACCTGCTTTGAGTAAATTTGAAACAGATTAGAAAGTTGCTCTGTCAAAACATCATGATGAAGGTCACTTCCTATTCGTGTACAATCTCTCCCTGTGCACTTCTACATGTCAATCTCTCATCCTCGTTTTGCTCTCGTACAGCATTCCCACTCTGCCGAATCCCCCCACCCCGTAAGTCGAACTTTGCAAAATCGATGAAATTGATAAAGGAAATAGAC